TTCTTTCTTTCTTTCTTTCGAAGGAAAGAGGACTTTATTAATTTGCTGGCAAATGAGGATGTTGGTACACTCCTGTCTCAAAGTACGAACATCCTGTTTCTGAGCAGAAGTACAGAGCTTTTAAAGGTTCTGATTAATTCCACAAAGATGTATTTTCTAAGGCAGGAATCATTAACCCATTTTACAGCTAAGATGCTAAGACTCTGGTCAAGTAACTCGTTAAACTTACTCAGTTAACAAGTAAAGGAAAAATGTTATTTGTTGAATTGTATCCTCTTGGCTTGATAGTAGAATCCATTTGTTAATTAGGTGTTCGCTTACATCGACCACAGTATTGAATACTGAAAATGTCTCAGGTATCTAGGACTACTGTTTGCTTCTTGCGAGCTGCTGCAGTTTTGTCTATATGTCTATTATATATGGTTTATACTTCATCATTTAAATCTAGATGTAGATTATGATGATTTTTAGCGGAAGTTGCATTCATTCAGTTGATTGGTGTTTTCTTTAGGTATGGTTTGGAGAAGACCTGCCTCTAAGTCCACGAAGTCCTCTGACTCCCAGACACGGGCCAGGACTGGCTAATGTGTGTCAGTATGATGAGTGGATAACTGTCAGGCATGCAGCCACTCTGTTGCCCATGCAGGAAGATCTGTCAATCTGGTTATCTGGTTTATTAGGTAAGGCTTGATACAATACCCAAAATTGGATTCCCTTATTCAATAACTATTGACTAAGAGCCTTACTGTTTGTCAAGGAGTGACTGTAATACATGCTGGGATCTCTAGTGAGTAAGATATTCAATATCCTTGTTCTTACCCAGCTTATATTCTAGTTTGGGAGATATTCTGATTTACCCTGAATCTTGTTTCTTGAATATTAGGAAACTTGAAATTTAACTGAAGAGGTCAATAAGTTTTGAATAATCAACATTTTCATTGTTAACATTAAAATATTTTTTAAAAAGTATACAGTTCTATTTTTTTTTTTTTTACTGATTTTCCCACCTAATCTTGTATAAGGTATGAGACTTTGAGTGAAATGTATACTGTAGTTAAAATGATTAAAATGAAGCATTGAGGGATAAGGGCATATGAAATCTAAAAAGAAATGTCAGGTTGGAGAATGTCCAGCATCATAATTTTTACTCTACTAGAGAATATGATTAATGCTCCAAACTTTATTTCCAGAAAAGAAATTCACTTTAAATAAAGAATTTCATGTAGGATTCCAAGGTTTTCATAAAAGGGAATATCCTAAAGGTAAATATAATTACCTTCCAAGATAATTATACATTCACCAAACTCACTCTAGTTGTTTGATATCAGTTGATTTGGATAATTTTTAAAAGTTTATTATGCAATAATAATGCTTTTAAAGAAGGAATTTCAGAGGTGAAAAGTTAATCTTCCCTGGATGTTTCTTATAGTATTATCTTTAATTTTTAAATTGCAACAAAGTCCATCTTATTTATAGAGAATCTTTTTCTTGTGTAAGCAATATTAATATGCAGTGAATTTATTTCATTCTAAATGAAATCAAAGAGATGTTGATTTTATTTTTTCTGCACTTCCACATCACAGATATTTTTATTTCAGTTGTCTTTCATTTAACTTGACATTATTTGCTGTTTTGACTGTACCTTCTAAGAGTGAATACTTGGAACCTGATCTGATATTTGTCTAGTGTTTCAGCTATAATCTGATTCTATTTAATTAAATTTTAACCATATTTTTTAAAGAATGTAACCATATTTGAATTTACTGTTTCTAGAAGAGTCTTAACTTTGAAATATGTTTTTAGGCATTGAAGTTAAGGCAGAAAGATTATTGGAAGAACTTGATAATGGAGTACTGTTATGCCAACTGATTAAGGTTCTTCAAAACATGGTGAAAACATGCAACTCTGAAGAACCAGAGGTAAGTAAATGTTTGACAGTATTGATTTTGTGTCTTGGCACATATTAATTTGTTTATGTACATTTCTTATCATTTCTACAAGGTTGTCAACTTCCACCCCAGCTGGCTATGAGACCTTGAATGATTTACTTAATCTTTTTGAGCCTCCGGAAAAATGTTTTCTTTTGTAAACTGGAGGTGTTAATATTTACCTTGTAGAACTTATTTGTGAGAGTTTGGTGGAATTAAATGAGATAATGTATAGATGGTGTCTAGCATAGTGCTTGATGCACAGTAGCTATCCAGTGGCCAGCTCTTCTTGAGAACAATCATGGTGCCTTTCTTCTAGGATTGTTGTGAGGGTTAATTGAGAAAAGAGCTTGTGATGGTTCCTGGCACACAGGTAGTAGCTGCTGTTGTTATAATTATCCTCTTCATATTCTCCATATATTGCCTTAATGGTAAATTCTATAAATATTGGATTGAATCAATAATAATTTTTTTTAAACCATTTTCCTCCATTGACCCTAAAGTCATGATTTGAAGTAGATAAGATTTCCTCTTTTCACGAAATGTAGGTGTTTTCAAGAGTTTGGGGTCTGGCACTTACACATTGGTTGGTGGAAATATAAAGTACTATCATCATTCTTGGGGGACAGTGGGTGAGATATATAGATAGATAGATAGAGATAGATATATATATCTCCCATTCAAAATAAAGTACATCCTTTGACATATAATTCTACTTATAAGAATTTATTCCAAGAAACTAATCACAAATTTACAAAATGATAGTACAAAAAAATTAGGAACAACCTAAATGTTCATCAATAAAGAAATTGTTAACAATTATTATACCTAAACACATTGGAATAGTACATATTTATTAGAAATGATTATTTAAATCTGTTATTTTCAACTCCAAAGGACTCCTACAACATATTGTTAAGTGTATATATGCACATACATACAGAAATCAAATTGCAGAATAGCATGTTTATGTGACATTTTGTAGGTACAGTTGTGTGTGTAACCGTGCACAGAGCTGTCTCACCAAAATGTGAGTGAGAGGATTTCAGGATACTAACCTTCTTTATATCTTTGTATTTTGCTGGTTTTTTTTGGTTTTCTTTTGGCAATGATTATATATTCTGTATTCCATCAGAAAAAACTCATAAGGCTATTTTAGTTTTGAAAATTAATAACAACAGGAAGGGTATACAGGGAACTGGTAATAGTGGTTTTCTCTAGGGTGAGAGGAACTACGGGGTAGAGGTGCGAGGAAGACATTATATCCTACTTTACCTATTGTGTTAAAAAAATCATATACATGAATTGCTTATTTAAGTAAAAATTTCAACTAAAACAAAACAGAACAAAAAAACCCTCAGCCTCAGCAGGATTATCCAAATACTCTTGGGCCTCAAAGTCAAAAAATTAAGATTCTGTGAAACTTAGATCATTAATTTTCAAAGAACTTGAATTAAGAATGGGCAACTACTTCCCTATTTGATAGTCTCAAAAAACTCAGAACCATCTTTTATGAATCTACATGAAAGGAAGTAAGCAAAAAGGAGTGTCTGTTCACTTTTAGCACAGGGTAATTTTGTGTTTGTATTGAATTATGTGTGAAGAGACATAGCATATACCAGATTGTTTTCCTAGTAATCATTTTCTGGAATATACTTTAAAGTAAAATAAGATAGTTTTTGAAGATATCTTTTTTCCCCTAAGGATACTTTTTAGTTACATGCAATGCATTGAACATTTATTTAGTATATTAAAATGAATATCTAATGAAAAAATCCTTGATTTTTTTTGAAATTATTCTTTTTTCTTTTCTAGAATTTTCCAATGGGAAAAGTGCCCTGTAAGAAGGATGCTGCATCAGGTTCATTCTTTGCCCGAGACAATACTGCAAACTTCCTTCACTGGTGTAGGCACATTGGGGTCGATGAAACTTATCTCTTTGAATCTGAAGGTTTAGGTAAGTGTTGTTGTCATCGTTGTTTTTTATGTTTATTAGGATGCTTTTCTATCCCTCACTTCCAATTTTTCTTTCCAAATAAGGACTCAAATGTCACATCTCATTTTTCTAGGAAAGTTTATACTTTAAATATATGTAAAACAATTGGAGAATTAGATGCTAAATCAAATATATTAAGCTTTTCATTTGTGGTTAAAGATTTTCGATATCTAGAATGCCCTCAAAATACTTTATTTACTAAATAAGTTGGCTGCAGGAAGGTTCTGGACTGATGATTTACTAATTAATGTTTTCATTAAGAATTACTCTACCAAGTCTAAATTACTAGTAATTTCTCTTTAACCAGATAATTACAGAAACAACAGAAAGCCTAATGATGTGCAGTCATAGTGTTTAGATTTACCTTGTAAACAACAGCTGCCAATTCGATTATCTACATGGATTAATATTTTTGACAGTTCATTTTGAAAAGTCATGCTCTACTGAAGAATTATTGGTATTCTTTCTCCTTTCCTTTAAGTCAACAGAAGTATCTGTGCAGTGAGTAAATTGGTAGCTATCTAAGTTTTAAACTACATATGCGTGTGTGTGTGTGTATTTCAAAGCATTTATGTATGTATATACATATATGTGCACATACACACACACAGCGAATTTATACTGCTGTGATGGGAGCAGTAGCATACCAAGGGCGGGGGCTGTGGAAGTCATCTGCCCCGGTACAGAGTTTTATCACTGACGTTTAGAATTGCTGGTTCATGGTGATAATAAAAAGCCAACTGACTTTTAGTTGGTTTTATTATTGTTTTTAAATTATTGCCTGCACGCAGGTAAGCTGCTCCCACTGCTGTGCCTGCGGATACTCTTACCCACTGTAAAGTGTCATGGGCTGCTGTCTTACCCCTCAGTTTGCAGCTGCTTTCAGTCCAGGTGTGCTGATATTTATTGACAATGTAGGTGATTTAATGGCACATCCAGCTTCCAGAGATGAAAGGGAAGAGGAAATGCTTTGAGTGCACCAGCTTCCAGTTTATTGTTTCCAAAAGGATGTCAGATAATTGTATATTTCTCATTCTCAGTAGAGGACAGTCCCTTATAACTGTCCTGAAGGTCAGTATAGAACTAAATAAAGCACTGCCAATACCAGTAATTCATTTCTAGGCTGGTTTCACAGATGTACCTCTTAATTTTTTACATTTTGCTGGGAACTCAAAGCTATTTTAAGAAACAAATCTATTTTAAGGTACTTCTAGTGTTTAGAGACAAACAGGTTTCATAAAAAATTTAGGATAAATTCCTTTATTGGTGTGAGTTTTAGATTCAAATATAGGCTTTTTTATTTGAAAGAGTATACTTTGTATTTGGGGTACATAAGAGATGCTATTCATACATCAAAGAACATTTCTATTGGGGGAGTCGGTGTACCTGTAGTTCATCACACGTTGCACGTTATTAGATTAGGATTCAGAATTTTCCTAGAGTTTCTAACTCTAAGGACAGGAACAGAAAGGTTGAATGATCCCTAACTACTGTATCAGTGCATTTGTGCATTTAGCATGAGTTCTATGGTCAGAGCTTTTTTTTTTTTTTAAGGATCTCTGTTTACTTTTGCATTTCAGTTTCTTTTA